TTTTTTAAATTTGTTTGATATATTCTAAATGTTTTATTTATTATAGTATTATTATGCATAATTTACCATGTTTAAATTAGATAAGCCTAGGATTGCGTGGTAGTATTTTGCATGATAGTTTTTATTACTGTTGTATTGTTATGCATGTTTTTAATACAATTGCATGAGCTGTTGTGTTTTGAATGTCATCTGACTTAGTTAAGGTTAGAACCTTAGGCTGCATGAATGGTTGTGTTCCTGACTGCTAATCGTTTCTGATTATGCACTCGCTTGATCACCTAACATGTTAGGAGAAAGGTCCTAAAATCAATTCAAATTGCCTGACAAATATTTTCAGAAATGAACAGGGTAAAATGGTACCGAAAGGGCATTAGTTATCCAACTAGTGTAACCAAGTCCCCGAACTCATTTAATCTCTGGTTCGTAGGAATAGGGTGATTCTCCCATCATCCTATTTGGGTTTCTAATCGACCCACCCCAAATCGATTAGTGGCGACTCCTTGGTATAAACCACTTGCATGTTAAATACTTAAACCCTAAGTCGCGATATGGTATAGGCTTGGGAGGGCCCGAGTTAAGTCCTGAACCTAGACTTAGCACGTACCAGGCGAGCCCCCCTTTTTTGCATGTTGTTTAAAAAAGGGCTCGGGAGTTCGGTCGCGACAGCCGGCGACCAGCCATAAGCGAGGGCCGGCAAGGGCTTGACTCTCACAGCCCGGGCAAGGGCACCCTCACCAAATCTAGTGAGGACCGACGCAGCAAGGGTGACCCTCGCCTATGGCCAATCGCCGGCCATGGCCGAGTACCAGCCACACACCAAAGGAAGAAAAGGAAAAAAATTAATAAAAAAATTCGAAAAATTATAAAAAGAAATTATCCACGTCAGCAATTTCCAGCCTAAATTAGCCGGATTGACTGAATTTGTATCAATGTGAAAATATTTAGGACTAAATTGATCCGATTGAAAGGTTTAGGACTGAATTGATATCAATACAATAGGTTTATGACTTTTTCGGTACTTTTCCCCCTCCCCCTTCAAAAGATGATATCCTTTATGGGGATGAATTGAAAAATGCGGATCGCTCACTGAATGGATAGGATCCTAATCCCGTCATGTGCGAGTGTGCGGTCGGTATATACATACATGTGAGTTATCTATGCCATCGACTAAAGGTAATTCTCGTTTTTTCAAACCCTTCCCACTCCCTCTCTCTCTCTCTCTCTCTCTCTCTCTCTCTCTCTCTCTCTCTCTCTCTCTCTCTCTCTCTCCCTCTCTCTCGCTTTCTAAGGTGTGTGTCACGTGTGGTGATGCTTGTAGTGATGCAATAAATGATCTAAGCATGACATTATTAACCTTATGTATAGAACAAACTCCCAAGACCAAGACCTGTAACTTTCGAGTTCCAAGCCAAGAGCAGGACGTAGGGAGAGGGGCGGCTTCTCCTTCAGGTCTTGAACAAGACAAAACATGAAAGAAAGTCCAATTGGAGATTGATAGATTTTGATCGAGCTTAGAAAGTGAATGTTTCGGAGTGATTGATGAGACCGTAGCTCTTCAACTATTGGTCAACTACAATGGGAAATCAAGAAGAATGGTCGCTTCTAATTGAAAAGAAGCTGGCAAATGTTGGGGGGTACTCCTGATCCCTGAAATGAGATTTTTTTTTTCAATTTGCTTCAGGAGAGTGATCGTGATCATCAATTTAGGAAAAATGACAATATACGGATCCATTTGAATCCGCTTATGGATCAAAATAGATGATTCGGGTCACGTTTATAAGTACAGAGAGAAAAGTTCTGCAATGAATGTACATTGAAATGTTCCCCATCTAAAAGAATTCATCTAACTTGCTTAGCAACGTTGAGATCTCAACTTATGAGAGAGATGGGGGGGGGGGCGCGTCGGCAAATCTCACTGTCGGTGGAAAAATGAGTTATGTCCAAAAGCCCTAGACCGATGATTATTGCCCTGGCGATGGATATTTTATATCAGGCTAGTGGTAGATTGATAACTGTCGAGCTAAACATCCGTCTCCTAGATATGGCTGTGATTATTGTGGTTGTTCTACAATTACCGCAGCCATGATATGAGTTGCCATAACTTGTGTGTATGACAATACGTGTTTTAAAATCGTAACACTTCAAACTAGATGAAGACACGTTCCAAAAGGTAAAAGCCGATGCGCAGCTACTAAGGATTTGTTGAACGACCTCACCAAAAGATGAAATACCCATTTTCGCAGCTATAACTGCTACGAGAAAGCTAGACCAAGCGTGCTTGAAGTGAAGAGAACTTGCGACCTAAGGGGGAGCATTAGGTTGGTTTGGGAAGACCTCGGATCAAGCAGGGGCTCATGGGCCCTTAGGCTAACTATCATTGAGTGGATTGGTAGATTGATAGGCCTGTGAAGGTCATGGGCTCTGGGCACTTGACTATGGAGTAAAAATTTTCAATTGATTTAGGCAGCTATTTTTAGATATTGAGTATATTGATTAGCCTTGTCATTGTTTATATGTATGTTAGTATAAACACCAAACGTTTGCTAAGAAATGTAAAATGTTAAACAAAAAATTAATCGACAAATTAAGGAAAGTTAATCAATTTCCGCATCATCCAGACATTATCTTCCCGTATATCATATTCCTTTGTAAATTTGCTCGTGTATATATATAATATCAACAGAGAGAAAAAAGCGACACCAACCTTACACTGCAGTACCTTCTCATACTAATCTCGACAAAATTACACCCAAAGCCAAAAGCTAGTCGTTCGAGTATAAGAGCCCGAGGTCATAACCACGGAGTTTCTGCGTATCGTTAGTAGCATTGTTGAATCAACCGTTGGTCGGAGGTGAAACGAAGAAGTATGATTAAAGGTATTTTTATGGATGGACGATTGATTTAGAAGACCGTACCACCTAATTTCTCTGGTGCAAGAATGGAATAACTTGCCTATGAAGCAATGATTCCTATCCCTTGAGGATGGGCTCACCGGTCACTAATAACTCCAACAGAGAGAAGTAAGAACAAGCCCTAAAGTTTCTTGCAACATCGGCACTTCGAAGCCCTCCCTGACTTCGTCTTCGACTCCCTGGTCATCCGATTCGCTTCCGGTTCTCGATCTTATCGTGCCGCTCGCATTGATCTCGGTTGGTCCATTCACTCTAGCCGCTGTTGAGTCCGTCTTCTCGGCTCAAACTTCCCTGGTCGCGAAAGTTGAGAGTCAGTTTCATCGGCTTGAAACTGCTCTCTCTGCACTTGGACCCGACGATTTGTACCACGCCATCGAATCTCCATGCCTCGGAATTATTCGTAAGCAAAATCAAGTGGCTTTTTCCCCTCCAACCATTAGGGTGAAGTGTACCTTTGCGCAAAATTTCCTTTCTTCCTTTTCTTTTTACACCCTCATAATGGCCATTCTGTGATGATACTAGGATCCTTTGCTTGAGTTTTCTATTAGGCGGCCGAGAATGAGACGCTGGCTAAGAACACCGGAATTGGACGAGCCGGTCGGGAATGGAGAGCCTGCGGGACTTGTCAAAGGATACAGCTGGTTAGCGAAGGTCCGACGACTCTCGTCGTGCTCCCCCTAAGGTTGCAGCCTAGCTACGGTGGCGAAGATCGCTTGCCCTCACCATGAGCGAGCAACTCCTCAGCAAGGGTCACGTCTCTCGTCCCTCAATGTGCAAAGGTTTCCCGATCCTTGCCGGGGCATGGTTCACCCATAGCAAGGGCGTGGGGTCTCACTACATGGCCTCGCTCACCCTCTGGATGGTGGCCTCAACGCCGGCCGCGCTACGGTCTTATTCACTCCCAAACTTTCACTTTCGAAGCTCGACCAAATCTATTAATTTCAACTGGACTTTCTTCGTTTTGTTTTGTCGATACCTGAAGGAAACGCCCCTCTCCCTACGTTCTGTTCTTGGCTTGAAACTTGAAAGTCCCGGGTCTTGGTCTTGGGAGTTTTGTTCTATTCATCACGTCAATATCTTGCTTAGAACATTTATAACGTCCCTACAAGCATCACCATACGTGACACGTAGCTTTTAGAAAGAGAGAAGGGTCCGAAAAAACCGAGAACGACGTTTAATCGATTGCATTGATAACTCATCCGTATGTACATGCGGACCTCACACTCGCACATCATAGGATTGGGGTCCTATCCATTTTTCGATTTATCACAAAAAAGATAGCATCTTTTGAGGATGAAAAGGATACTATCTCAATACGCATCTTAATATATGTGAGATCATATAGAGTTCGACTTTAGATATTTTCTAAGAAAGTAACCAACTCTTTCAATTCACATTCATTGGATTTTGAGAAGTCCGAAGAAGGACTAGTAGGCGTATCTAACATGTCGGGCGCCTGTTAAATGGATTTGACCTAGCAGGTATTGAGCATGGATTTCAATAAATTGATCTCCATCATTAAATCATATCAAAGTTAGAGGAACTAAAATTGATACATTGAACGTTTTTACTAACAATGTGACAGATTTCTGTCCAGTGCTTAGTGCTTTGATGGACCCACCATCTGCCACCTTATTCAGTAAAATCATATAGTATATCGGTGTTAGTGTTTCTAGCATCGCTCTATTTTTGTTTTGCCGATAAATTTAGTTGTTTCTCATGATGCACTATGTTTCTTAGTCATCGGAGGGAAAATTGGCTAATGCCAATAAAGCTTGGACAGTAAGCAGGATTTCTTGTCCATATTCTCCAATTTCTAAGGTCGCCATTAAGGAGAAATTTCAATGATGACGTATGCCCTAGACTGTGAAAGAACGAAACAGAAGTTGGCCTCTCTTCCGGATCTGCCACGAAATTTCATACCATTGCTTAAAAATGCTCCGAAGAATTGTTTGATATATCAAGACCCATTCTATAAAATTGTGTATTAAGACCAATATTCGAATTGCGTGTTGAAATTGGACCCGCATGCATGGTGCAAATTTCACTTTCGATTTTTAATGTCACTTGATATAAACTTTGTCGACAGATGTAGACACACTTACCATTATTCAAAGGCTGAAGTACAAGGCAAAAAGAAAACGGTAGTGGGGAAATTGTTGGGAAGTTATCACATGGTGTAGCTCTAGAGAAATAGAGAGAGAGCTTTACATGATGGTACAACAAGGTGGTTCGGGTTCCGTCACAATGTACAGAGGCGGCGGCGGCGGCGGCGGCGGCAGCGGCTCACGTTCCTTGGGCTTTTCTTCTTTCTTCTCCTCTTTGACGTCATCCACCGTCTCCAACTTTGCATGACCCACGCTCTTGCGAAGCTTATTGACGAGGTCGACTGCATCGACTCCGTCCCCCGTTACTTCAATCACGTCTCGGTCTGCTCCTTTCATACTCAATGATTGGAACCCTACATGCATCAATTGAGCAGAGAAATCATGGACTAATCAAGCTCGTTCTACAAGCAAGTCGCATGAAACACATTTTGATATAGCACCATAGTCTTGTTAGTATCTGTCCAGTCGATTGGTACAATAAATTTGGCCAATCTAATTTACTACGGTTAGGGAAAAAGCTGCTAAAACTCAATCAAAACGACAGTTCTCTGATTTCCACAAGCTACTGGTGGTTGAATCTTTTCTGCAATGTGATTCTGCAGTAGGGAAAGAATAGAATTAGCTTCCAAGGAAATGGAAGTAGTTCAGGTTCTATGCTTTGTTTCTCAGCCTTCTCAATTACACATGGCAAAGAAAGGTTCTCTTTTCTTGTAAAAGCTTCTTGGATGCTTCTGTCAATCCTTGAAACCAATTCATTCTTTCATGCAACAAGTTTCTTTTTGGACAAGGACCTCTTCAGTGTCTGCTTCGCATTCTTAACAAGCATTACAACTAAATTTTTATCTTTCTTGTGGACAACCCTAAAAATAAACTGCTTATGTCGTTTTTGTTTTCGATCATTACCGGGGACGGCCGCCGCAATTTGAAGAGCCTTCAAGCGATTATCTTGCCTTCTAAAATTCGGGAAGAGCAAGTACTTCCGATTCGTAACATTCATGTTGGACACCTTGACCACCACCTTTTTCTGCAAGCATAATGAACCGTGATCATGTATACCAACATTTTCTTGTAAACTAATCAAACATTAGTATCATACTAGGTTACGCACCTTAGTCATCGTCTTGGTTTGTCAACAATGCTCTTCGATGGACCTGCAAATAATTTTCCAATGTTGAGTATTCTAAGTTTTAGACTGAGCGGTTGGGGTTTGATCTGTATTGTAAAGACGAGAGAGAGAGACAGAGAGTGTGTGTTTATAGCCATTTCCTTGAAGAACGTTGGTTCATATTGAGTGTTGACTGGAGTGTTTTACGGGGAAAAAGCGAAATGTCGCGACAAATTTCAAAGAGAAAAGGTGGAAAGTAGCTAGACACAGCACGGGGAGACTTGTGTGGGGAAATTTCGACGCGACCTGCCTCCAAGACAAGTTCGTATAGGTCGGGATCATAACATATGACGTGCAGATTAGGGCAAGGCCAGCGGCGACAATGTATTCACCCTAAATACAAACCCTAGCTGCTCAGTCATTAACGAGACATGTAGAAAAACCCTGTTTAGAGAGTTTAAATGTACCATGAATCGAGAGAATGGACATGCAACGTGGAATTTGTCTTTGCTCGCACCCAACACAATGATACCCCAAACCTACTATTTGCCTCTCGTGAAAGTATTTTAGTTGCTCGATTACTGAAGAAACATATAGAAAACCTTAGAGATTTTAGATGTACCGTAAACTAAGAGCACGGACATCCAATGTGGGGATTTCTCTTTGCTTGCACCCTGTGAGATTTTGTGGGATCACTGCTAACCATTCTAAAAGCTTAAACTATTAGATTAAGACGTCATTTCATCACTTTAAGTATTTCATCACTCCCCCTCACGCTTAGTCTGGCTTTTTTGCCTAATACTAAGTGTAGACATATTTAATTGGGGAGGCAAATTGGGCCTGAAAATATTCGAACTCAAGACCAGCTCTGATACCATGTAAGATTTCGTGGGATCAGTGCAAACTGTTCTAAAAGATTAAGCTATTAAATTAAGGCATGATTTAATATTTAAGTATTCTATCACATCCGACACAATGATACTCTAAACCTACTATTTACTTCTCGAGAAAGTATTGTACGGATCGATTACACGGTAGACGTGATGTAACTAACTAATTGCTTTACCGCATGGTGCGTCCCAGGTTGGGGACATACATTATGTAATGTGTAATTCCCTCGTCATCACTATTACAAAGGAATACATCTTCGGATGGAAACCCCAAAAATTTCGGGCACAAATTCTAAGACATCTTCAATGGCTTTTTCTAAGGAAAATGATAAATCCTTCTCATGGTGAAAAGAAAGGACATGTTTAAACCACTCGAGCCTCACAACTTTGGCATTCAATCGCAACAATTAAAAACAGCCGACGGGCTGCCAGCCAATGTCCAGAAGCTGGACGTGTTTCCAGCGCGGTAACCAGGCATCCGACGCCACGATGCAGTCCCGATCCAGACTTGGTAAAACCCCATTTTAGAAACTTATATTCTATCATAAACTTGTGAAAACTCTAGAGAGCTCTTGAAAGCCGTCATGTAAGAGAAATAAGAGCGTGAGAATACTCCTCTTTCGTGATTGATTCATGTGGGTTTGGATGTACCAAGGATCGGGAAACGCTTGAGTGTGAGTATTTCGAGGGATTGTAATCTTCTCTTAACCGATTATGAAGGAACCATTCTATCAATCTCTCCCTGTACAGTAGGCACACCGCCAACCCCATAAATCAGCTGTGTTCAGCCTTTATTTTCGTGATATATTTCTTGCTCGAATTGTCTCGTTTCTTCATGCTTTCGAGTTACTCGTGAAAATCTAAAGGACAAATTAGAAGGAAAAATGAAAATAAAATCAACAAATATCTGAATTTGTGCAAGATATGGAATGATATATAGCTAACTTCATATACCACACGAAAGCGACAAAGACGTTTAAACAATCGCATCGATCACGCATACACATATACATGCGCGTACATAACATAAACACATACTTTACACTTGATAGGATTGGGATCCTACGTTTAATGATTGAATTTGATTAACATTTTTCGATTAATCACGAGGTAATATCATCTTTTGAGGATGAAAAGGACATTACCTCAACCCTTATCTAATCTGCATGACATTACATAGAGTTTGATTTTGGATATCTATGGGAAAATAAATCAATCTTTCATGAAAGTAACTTGCGTATTAGATGATGTAACCAAGATATTGACATGATGATTTTTATAAACTCCCTAGACCAAGACCTGTAACTTTCGACAGAACGTGGTGGGCGCAAGAGGTTTTGTTCTTCAGGCCTTTGACGAATCAAAAACGAAGAAAGTGCGATGGAAATTGCCCCTTGAACGATCCGAGGTTGATCGAGCATTGAAAGTGTATGTTCCGGAGTGAAGGAGACGGTAGCAAAAGTTCCTCTTTTGCTCCCACCAATTGGTCAAGTACATGGAAATCAAGAAGAATGGTCGCGTTAGGTAAAGTGAGACCAATAATTCCCATGGCACTCTTGAGAGAAAGAAAGAATATCCGACTTGTCTAGCAACGTCGCAAATTACACCAAAATGTTGGTTGTACGGGAGACGGAGAGACGAACGGACATTTCAGGAAGTTAGAAAAGAATCGATGTTGAGCTCCATGCGGTGCGGGTGCCGGTGCTGGTGCTGGGGAAGAGGAAGCTTCCTTCTGCTCGGTCGTGCCTAGTCCTGAGAGTCACCCCACCGTTCCGTTTCTTCCAATCGATCGAGATCGAGATCGAGGCTAAAGTCGGGTGAATTAAAAGCCCTGAATCAGCTTTTTTATAGGGATCGATCTCCAAAGGTTTCCTCCAAATTGCAAAATCATCCGTCCCTTTGATCCCTCTACACTATCATAAAATTTCCTATTTTCATTCCCTTTTTTATCTTGTTCTAAAGACAAATTATAATCAGATACATCTACAAATGTACCACTCATTTTATTTCTCTCATCCCTCTTTTCATTTTCTCATCATGATTTCTTCTCGATAAGATTAAATTTATGAAGTTTTTTTTTAACTACATAATTTTAAAGTTTAGTAATCAAATAAAGCCCGTTTAATATTTCGCTAATCGGGATTACAAACATATGCAATTTTGCGTATACTAGATAGATAGGCCTGTGAAGGGTCATGGGCTATGGGCTCTAAGGAGTAAAATCTATCTTGTGAAACATGTATTAATTTTTTCGATTTTTAGAGTGTATGGATTAGCCTTCTCATTGTTTGTACGTATGATAGTATCAAGAAATGAAAGATGTTAGAAGAAAGATTATTGACAAAACTAATCGGATGTTGATTGATTTCCACACCATCCAAACATAAAGCTTACAATTTATCATATTTCTTTCTAAATCTATCTTTTGTGTGTATATATAACACGGGAAACTTACCAAAAAAGCCATAAACTTATTGTGATTATGTCAATTTAGTTATAAACATTTTTTTTCCAGTTGAGTCTTAAACATTTAGTATTCGTGTCAATTCAATCCATCCGGCCAATTTTGGCTAACTGCTATAGACGTGGACGCTGGCCATCCTACGTGGGGCGACCGACGCTAACGTGGACAGTTTTTAATAATATTTTTTAAAAAAATTATTTTTTATTTACTTTTTTCTTTTCTTTTCTTTTTCCTTTTTTTTATTTTCTTTCTATTTCTTTTTTTTGTTTCTTTCCTTCTTCCTCTAGCCGATCACCGGACCTCGCCGGCAACTAGACAGGCTCGACCGAGCCATTGCTAGGTGAGGGTGAGCTCAACCTCGCCGGCCAGAGGAAGAAGAAAAGTAAAAAAAAAAAGGAAGAAAATATAAAATAAATAAATAATCGAAAAAATATTAAAATATTATTAAAAATTGTTCACGTTAGTGTAGGCCGCGCCATGTAGGACGGCCAATGTCCATGTCTGCACCGGCTGGCCAAAATTAGCCGGATGGACTGAATTGACACAAATGAAAAAAGTTTAGGATTCAATTGGCAAAAAAGACTAAATTTGCACAATTGCAATAAATTTATGACTTTTTTGATAATTTTCCCTTTATAACACCTAAGGAGAGACAAAACAACACCAATCCTAGAATAACCATGCCCCGAAAATTACATCCAGGACAGGGCGCTCCAAATCCATCCTATACAAATCTCGAGGAAATTACACCCAAAGCCAAGAGCAAATAGAAGAGCCTAAAATCATGACCGAAATCTCGTGCACCGAATTTTGACGACATCGTTAGCCGTATCGTCGAACCGGCGTCAGTACCGTCAGTCGTAGGCGTGACAAAGGAGCACAATTGAACGAATGGATGTAAGAGGACGAATGATTAAGGCTGTGCCAAGACCAAGACCACGGATCTGAAGCACGTGGGCGTGGATCGATGGCTTGTGCGAGGGAGTCCGTGGCCGAAACGCACCGGAGGCTCGTGCTGCATCAATTGCTCAATTCATGGGGAGCCTCGTCCTTCTAATTTTCCAAACACCGATGCCGTTCAGATCTCACATTGAACTTCTTCCCCAACAAGGACAGTCAAACTATCTTTTTAATAGTCTAAGTTGTTCAATAAATGCCAGTTTTGACACGTGGTCAACCTCATTTGTATAAAAAAAAAATTGTCCATGCAATATATATTTTCACATGGGCATGCTTGAAACTGAATTGCCCATATGACATTAGTGAATGTAGCTACTAGATAATCTATAAGTTCATATTGTCTAAGACAATTTGCATTAGACATGGTTGAGAAAAGGCCTATTGCTCCATGCAATTTGCGATCCTCATTTTGGTCAACCGGCTGTGGGAGCTTTTACATGAGGGGGCTGCTCTTGACCTAGTGAATATCGCTTATTCTGGTGTTTATCAGTGATGATATACAATTGGTTTACGTACTAATGAACATCTTTATACGGGAGCTCTTTCTCTATTATTTCTTTCCGCCATATCCTTAAGAGCAGGTTGGTTACACTTACACCTACAATCGAAATGGAAACCGAGCGTTTCGTGGTTCAGAAATGCCGAATCTCGTCTCAATCATCATTTGTCGGGACTATTCGGTGTAAGTTCTATGTCGATAAGACTCCTCATCGACTAAGTAAGGCCAAAGGTGAAACCTCAATGAGCCCCAGCATATTCCACGGAATCTCCGTTGCAAGGGCAAAACTCGAGATACACTCAACCGTCTAAAGTAATTTAATTAAGTCTGATCGATCAATTATAGAGAAAACACGTATTTCGGGTGCCAACTTTTCCTAATACTCTCATTTCTATTTACGAATCTTGCTTTTTTACATTTTTAATTGTAGAAATCTTCCTTTTGATACTTGAAAGACGGCGTACTCCGGGAAAAAAGTAGCTCAACTTAGGGCTTAAAAAAGGCTGGGCGAGCCTAAGGAGACGTCAGCTCTAAGAAAGCATTTTGCATGGCGAACAACGCATCCAATACTCATCAACCCCCCTTCTTTATTACCAACGCCTTGTGCCTCTGCTTCCTTATTTATATCTGACAAATGCCAAGTAAGAAGAAGCGAAGCAAAACCCACCAGGTTTCTCTCGCGCAAGTATGGAATAACTTGCCATGAAGCAATGAATCCTATCCTTTTGAGGACGTGCTCGCCTGGTCCCTGATAACTCCCAGCAGAGAGGAGAAGCAGGAGCAGGCCCCCTGAAAGAGTGATGCAACATGAGCACTTCGAATGCCGCCTCCTCGCCTACCTCGTCCTCGTCGCACCGGTCATTTTGTTCGCTTCTGGTTCTCTGTCTTATTGCGCCGCTCACGTTGATCTCGGTCGGTCTGTTCGCTCTGGCCGGTAATGGGCCGTCTTCTCGGCTTGAACTTGCCTTGCCGTGGAAGTTGAGAGTTGGTTTCGTCGGCTCGAAAGCCACCGCTGCACTGTCTGCACTCAGGCCCAACGATTCGTACCGCGCCATGGAGTCTCCGTGGCCTATGAGTTATTCGGAAGAAAATCAAGTAGCTTTTGCCCCTCCAAGTGTAAGTATGAATTGTGCCTTTTTGCAAAAATTTCGTGCTTTTCTTTTCTTTTTACACACCCTGAATGGCCATTCTCTAATAATCCTCGGATCTTTCGCTTGTCCTTTCTATTAGGCGGCCGAGAATGAGACGCTGACGGAGAAACTGGAACCGGATGAACCGGCCGCCATCGAAGAGCCTGTGAGGGTTGTCAAAAGATATAGCAGGTTAGGAGGAAAGGTGTCGGATTTGGAAAGTGTTTGTTTTGATGTCCTTTACACAGAGATTTGAGTTAAAAAGCCGGGCCTTCTGTATGCTTTTTATAACCTCCCGATTGAGTCAGTCACACTTATTTGAGGGCATTTGATCACTTGGGCAGGTTAGAGAGGCTAGAGGCTGGCCTGTCCAGAGCACGGTCCGCCATCAGGGAGGCCGCTCTGATCCGGAACCTGACATCGGTCCATGCCGACGCCGACTACGTCCCCCGAGGACCGATTTATAGGAACGCCAACGCTTTTCACAGGTATCGTGCTGTTCTCTGATTGCCGTCTCCCTATCTTCCTTATGATTCCCGATCAATCCTGTGTCGCTCGATAACGTGAACCGGAGAAAAGAAATCAGAATCATATGTTGGCGACAATATGCAGGAGTTATCTGGAGATGGAGAGGCTGTTCAAGATATATGTGTACCAGGAAGGGGAGCCACCAATGTTCCATGACGGGCCATGCAAGAGCATATATTCCACAGAGGGGAGGTTCATCCATGAGATGGAGAGAGGCCACAACCAGTACAGGACCATGGACCCAGATGAGGCCCTCGTCTACTTCCTCCCCTTCAGCGTGGTCATGCTGGTCCAGTACCTCTACGAGCCCGGGTCCCATGAGACGCACGCCATCGGGCGTGCCGTCGTCGACTATGTCGACGTCATCGCCGCTAAGCATCCGTTCTGGAACCGGAGCCTCGGGGCCGATCACTTCATGCTCTCTTGCCATGATTGGGTAATAATGCTAACATCACATTTCAAGACGGGTCGAAAATGTGTCGATCTTTCGTCGAGCACTCGTACTATTTCGATTTTGATGTTGATGGAGCATTTTTTTTGCAAAATAAACATAAGAAGAAGATCGATTTTTGCCGTTTCCAGCTTTTCGGGTCAATCAACTTTGGTGCTATCCAATACATCACAAGTCACGAAATGTTTGTTCAGGCTAAAGTTTTTCAAACCCATTGTCCGAAGTAACCAAGTACATTACTCAAAGTCACTGCCCGTTTGGGCTTCTTTGCACTCAAAGGCTTGATTTCTAAAATAGAAATGATCATATTAGCATGCGATGTCTTGGTTTCACTAGCATCTTCAATCCTGCTAACACCGCATCACGCGATCCGTTTCAACTTTCCGCAGGGGCCGCACGCGTCTTCCTACGTGCCCTACCTGTTCAGCAAGTCCATTAGGGTCCTGTGCAACGCCAACACCTCGGAAGGGTTCGACCCCTTCAAGGACGCGCCGCTCCCGGAGATCAACCTCAAGACTGGGGAGATCTCCGGCCTCCTGGGCGGCCCCTCCCCATCTCGCCGCAGCATCTTGGCCTTCTTCGCGGGCCGCCTGCACGGCCACATCAGGCACTTGCTGCTGCAGGAGTGGAAGGACAAGGAGGACCCGGACGTGCAAGTCTACGACGAGCTCCCGCGCGGAGCGAGCTACGAGTCAATGCTGAGGCAGAGCAGGTATTGCCTATGCCCGAGCGGATACGAGGTGGCGAGCCCCAGGGTCGTAGAGGCCATATATGCCGAGTGCGTGCCCGTGCTGATCTCCGACGGCTATGTGCCGCCGTTCAGCGATGTCCTGAACTGGAAGGCCTTCTCCGTGCAAGTGCAAGTGAGGGACATACCCAACATCAAGAAGATACTGATGGGCATTTCACAGTCTCAGTACCTGAGGATGCAGAGGAGGGTGAAGCAAGTGCAGAGGCATTTCGCAGCCAACGGGCCGCCGAGGCGATACGACGTCTTCCACATGACCGTGCACTCCATCTGGCTCCGCCGCCTGAATATCCGGATCGCCGACTCGACTTGAACCCGCAAGCAGGTCGAGCATATGATCAGAAGGAGAGGCCGTCCCGGCTGTCCTTTGTATGTCTAGCATTGCTGCGCGGGAAGGATGAGCAGATTTGATTAGTAGGGAAGAATTTAGTCTCATGGTTGTGTAACAATTTTTGCGACCATCATGTTTTTGGATAGACCAGTTTGAAAGGGACACTGCCCATTGGTAGCAGCCCAAACATAGGGCAAGAAACCACGTAGGTTGGACTTTCTGTTCTCGAGATGTTTACAATCAAAAAGTTCTGAACAATGCATAAGTAAGATTGTATCGCAAAATTGATATGAAACTTGTCCAATAATGTGTTATACGGACAATTCCATTTTAAACTTTTTAATTTGCCGATTTAATCCTCAACCTTTGGATCAGAGCAAATATTAAGTAGGTCGATCTTGTCACGTAGGCGTAAGGACACTATTCAGCGCTCGCCACGTGTCCAGGTAGACCCCGTTAGTTGATCTCTTTGTCTTCTTCAACGCTACTTCTTCTTTTTTTTCTTTTTATTTTTTTTTCCTTTCCGCGGCGACCAGCCACAGGCAAGGGCTAGCGAGGGCGTCGGGCCCTTGCCGAATCTGGCAGGGGCCGCCCTCTCTGGATCTGATGAGGGCGAGGACGAAAAATCAATGAGTGATCTGACGACGAAGTAGGAGCCCTCGGTGAAGAAGCGCATCGGTGGAGTTGATGGCAAAGCCATAATCAATGTGGAAGGAGACGTTGCCTTAAAAGAAGAAGAGATTTAATAAGTTTTTGTGACTATGATCTTCATCACGTCATTTAGTATATCAAATTTACATTACCTCTTCGCATCATTCGGAATTTTTCACTTTTTTTTACAAGACAAATGAAGAATATTTCGTCGCGAGATGAAGCCGTCTCAACAATATAGATTTCATCAGTTAATCATATTACTAATAGGTAAAAAAATCACTTTGATTCTCAGAAACTCGCATGCTTTCTCCGATCAAGTACGGTTCTTCGGATTGAGAGCAAGTCTCTTCATCGAGAAGTGCGGAGAGGATGAAAGAGAAGATCGGAGCGGCGAGCGGGGCGGCCGGCTCGGAACCCAAACCCTTCGTCGCCACAAGCCCCTTGATCATCGGATCTTGCTCTCGTTTCTGAACTCTTAATTTGTCTAACCAAATTCTTGACTTTTGCATAATTTCTCAAACTTCAAATCGGGTCACTTCGGACCACCGTGTCCTCGAAGCAAGCGTGAATTTGGCACAAAAAAATTCGAGTTTGCCACGGCGAACCACATCAGTCTAATGCAGAGGATACTAAAAAATCTCGAAGACGTCTGAAATCAACAATGCTCGAGCAACGAGATATTTTTAACACGAACGCGGCACTTCAAGCTATTCACGTCAAAATCTTGCTCGCTTCCGCGAACACGTCACCTTTAATGATTCAATTTAAGGTTCAAACAGCTTGATTAGAAAAATTGCGTAAATTCGAAAAATTGGTAAGATAAAAGTAAAAGAGATAATGGTATAAATGGTCCTTTAATTTTGGTCAAATGTGCAATATGGGCTCTGAACTTTAAATCTATTCGATGTGATCTATGAACTTTAGGCCAAAGTGCAATGTAATCCCTAAATTTTTAATTTGTTCAATACAGTTCTTAGACTTTTGGTAAGTGTTCAATTTAATCATTGGGCTGTATAAAAACGTTCAATATTATGTTTTATTAATTCAAATTAAGGGATAACATTAAACATTTTCATACTGTTTAGGGAGTAAATTCAACACATACTAAAAGTCCAAATTCTACAGATACTAAAAGTCCAAGGACCATATTGAATAAATTAAAAGTTCATGGACACAACATAGCATGTTGGGCTAAAACCCAACACTACATTGAATAGATTTAAAAGTTGGGTTAATACCACGAAAAAACTTCAAACTTGTACACCCGTGACAAATTTACTCCAAACTATTTTATTGACCACAAAAACCCCAAATTGGTACACATGTGACAATTTTACCTCGAACTATTTTTTTGACCACCAAAAACCCCAAACTGGTACATCTGTGATAATTTTACCCCGAACTAATTTTTTGACCATCAAAAACCCAAAACCGGTACACCTGCGAAGGCTCGGGCCCTCGCCAGCAGCCGGCGGGGCTCGCCAGCCCTGGCCTCCAGCCGGTCGCCAGGGAAAAAGAAAGGAAAGGAAAAAATTAAAAAAAATTTGAAAAAATATTAAATATATTATTAAAAGTTGTCTACGTAATCGTCGGCTATGCCACGTAAGCCGGCCAGCATCCACGTCAGCAAATATATGGTCAAAATTAGCTGGAATGACTGAATTGGCACAAAGACAAAAAGTTTAAGACTGAATTGGCACTAAAAGAAGATTTATGACTAAATTGACATAAATACAAAAGGTTTAGGACTTTTTCAACGCTTTCCCCGAAAAATATTCAATATAATCCCTAAACTTTTGGCACATGTTCAATATAGTCCTTAAATTGAATCATATAGCTCATGAACTAAATTGAACATATACCATAAGTTCAGGGAAGACATTAAAGAAATTAAAAGTTCAGGGATCACATTGAACAAATTAAGAGTCCGTGGGCTACATTGCACGTCGGATCAAAATTCTAAGGGGCTGTTTAGGTCATTTTTCCTTTCAGCTTGTGAGTCGGTTCCCGCCAAAAATGAGAAAAAAGAAAAAAAGCGTAAATGAAACAGAAGAGGCGGAGCGTGGGGGGGGGGGGGTGGGCCGTGTCGCTTTCCCGAATCTCTTTTGGCCGTTCCGTTGCGCTCCTTCTCGACACGCGTCTCTCGGGATCCCTCTCGCTGCCACCTCCACCATCTGCGATCTCTCTCTCCTTCCCTCCCTCATCGTCTCCATCTTCTTCGTGAAAAACTCTCTCTCTCTCTCTCTGTGCGCGCTTCGGAGCGCCGGCAATGGAGGTCCCCGTAGGGTTCCTGGCCAAGCTGTGGAGCTTCGTCACTTTCCTCCCATTCTTCTCCTCCCTCTTCCTCCTCGGCCTCCTCAAAGGTACGCGCGCCGTCGTCATCTCCTCCTCCTCCTCCTCCTCCTTCGTGCCGTCGCGATTCGGCTCGTCTTCGTTCCCAGTCGAGCGAGACCGATGGTGACGCTTCGTCGGCGGCGAGCTATTGTGCGAATCCTAGCAGGCTGAGCACTGCGGGTGGAGAGCTGAGTTTGATCGAAGTTTGCCGATCGTTTTGATTGCTCAGCCAGAAAAAATAAAAGAGAAGAAAAAAGAGGATGTCCTAGTAAATTCAGAGAAATGCGTGCTTCTTGTTGTGCTTAGTGGCTTCCTGTCTGTATCCGTCGGTGATTCCCGCTTTTTTCTTTTTTCTTTTTTACGACAGCGGCGTTGGTCGGTCCGGTCGTGGTGTGCATCGTCGGGATGGGAAACTCGGCCGTGATCATAGGGCTGTGGATTGCTCATTTTGCCTGGACTTACTACTGTGTGGCGAGGTAGGTGTTACTGTGGATTCGCCGGTCGGACTCCTCTGTTTTAATGCTTTGCACTTCGTGTTTCGTGGCGATGATGATTTCAGGACCAAGAGGCTGGGGCTGATTCTGAAGATCCTGGTGCTGATAATACTGCCAGTGCCTCTAGTCCTTTGGCCTGTAGTCGGGATTGCGGGAAGCCTGTTGGGTGGAGCCGCGTACGGGGTCTTTGCTCCCCTGATAGCCACCTTTGAAGCGGTCGGAGAGAATGTGACGGACAAGCTCTATCTTTGCTTTCTTGTAAGTCCCCACTTGGGTTCTGAGTCTAGTTTGCTTCTCGATTCTCGGGCTTCTCCTTTCGAAGAAATGAACCTCCCGAAACGACCCCAGCAATTCGAAACTTGTAACTTGGAAACGGTGTCTTTGTGTTGATTTCCAGTACCAAGATGTTCTTTTTCTATAGGGTATCTACAATACGTTATTTAGAAAAATTGCGAGCTGTTTCAGAGAATATAAAGATTTTGTCCATACATACCTGTCGAAGACGTGTTAGGGGCGCACCGAGCAATGTTTATGAATAGTGGCCTTACAGAAGGTTGACAGCTAAAGCATGCAATTTTGTGTGGAAAGCTTTGCTTTGCTTTCTGTGGCAGATGTCTGGCTAGTTACTGATAGGATCTGGTATCTCTGGTTGCCATGGTATCAACTTATGACCACAACACTTGTCCTAAGAAAAAGTCCTTTACAGGGAATAGGCAGCTGAAGATAGAATTCAGAGATTAGCTTGCATGAGTCCTTCCGTCGTGGACCACTTAGTTGTTCTCTCCTAACCTATTCATAAGTTCCTCTAGTCAAAAAACCTTTTGCAACTTTAGACTTCAGTTTTAACAGTACAGTCATAAACAGTAAAAAAAAATTATTGGCTGGATGGAACTTAATTGCGAACTGTTGTTGACTTGAACAAGGCGATCGTCTTTGTTAATGTTTATCTTTCATTCTGAATAATATATTGAAAGCAACAAGAAAGCAAAAACTCATGAGATCCCTTATAGTTATTGGATGATTTTTTACATCTCCAATCATAAGTAAGCAACCACTCTATGTGAGAGTAATACGTTACCCGTAAGCCAGGGATGTGCATCGCTTTTTGTTCGTGTCTTATATACACGTAATCTCTTTCCAACTAATAGCCCTGTCCTTTAAATTCACATGCACTCTTTTATAGTCCGGTTTGTGCATAAGGAAGTGTTAAATGATCCCAAATAGCTTGTTTACGGGGTTCATACGGGAGTTATTTTCATATAATAGCTTGGATATTAGTAGGTTTTGGTATTAGATAGAATGCAGTGGCGAATGTAACTGACTCCATTGAGTTGGAAAAAGCTTGGCGGTGGTTGTATTTTTCTTATATAGTTATTGCTCTCTCTTTTAATCTCTGTGTGGTAACTGGAAGTCCTTTCTTTCCGGTTATTCACTTTCACAACAATATGCAGCGCCTGTATCTCAATTGTGAATATGGTTTTATGGTACCAGGATGGTGTTTGGTCCACGGTAGAAGGAAGTTGCACTGTGGTACGGGACTTCACTGATTTCTGCTTCCACTCCTACTTTTCCTTTATGGATGAATTGAGAGATAAAATACAACCAGATGAAAAGCCCATGGACATCAAGTAAAACTGTACCTTAGTTTTATTTTGTAAAAATATGCAGTATGGCAACTATGGCACATTCACATTATGATATTATCTTTAGGTTATCAAAGTTGCCTGCTTCTTTGATGGCGAGTCTGATGGGGGTGGTAGTAGATGTTCCTTTGATCATGGCTGTTGCCCTGGTGAAAAGTCCATATATGTTGTTCAGAGGGTGGAAGAGAC